GAATGGATTTCCCGCACGCGTTTCCTTGCCTTCCCGCGTTTTTCTGTCAGAGGGAGGTCGCGGAATTGCGGTCAAAACGTTTTCGCTTGTGCCCATATTCTGGACAACCAAGTAGCTACGGATGTCCTTCTCTCCCACAGTTCCGGTTCGAAACCAGTCAATCCGCTGCCGGTGCCACGTAGGTCTGAACGTGTTCATAAGCCAACAGGAAACGGGCAACTTCCGCTCCGGACATTCCGCGTAGGCTGCGGATATTGTCGAGGCCACGGCAGTTCGGATCGGACGGCGAAGGGCATGCTGCGCGTTCATCTCCGCCTACCTCCGCCGGCCAACAGCGTCCTACCAGAGCTGGGCAATCTCAACGCTATTTTCGGGCCGCTCTCCCGCGCTTCTAGCCCCCTCGCGGGCGATTTCGATGCAAAACATCCGTCTTGCAACTCCCGCATCATCTCACGTGGCGGTCGGATGTTGAAAATCTACGCGGAAATGCACAGCTGCGAAGAGCTACATCCGACGCAATCCACGCATTTCCCTGCCAACGCGCGACGGCCAGATGTTCTTGACATCGCCGATGATCGCGATCTGGGCGTTCCTATAAAGCAGAGCTTGCGAGGTTTCCTCTGATCGTCTCCCAGTAATAGCCGAGATAGGGTGCGGCGGCTTACAACCGTTTATCGCACTACAACCCGCCAGCAAACGTAAATTTTTTAAAATTATTTGTTGTCCCTTTTTAACTACTTTTTCTTATAGCGACCATTGTGATTGGTTTTAACTGTACGGGGAACCGTAGGAAGAACATGCAAGGATAACACGAACACACACAAACATCCATGTGCGAGGCCGGATTCGAACCCGCGTCCCTTCGAGTCGAGGCAGCTACTCCAGCCTTCGCAAACTCGGCTATCCAGGCCGGCTAATTCGTCTTTGATTCAGAAAGAACCGGAGAAGCCCCTCTTGATCGCGGGAACATTCCCAGATCCGCAGCAGAGCGAGACAGGAGCAAACCAGCTTGCGAATGCTTTTCCAGAGAGCCTTAGGGCGGCCGCCTTCGCCGGGCAAATAGAGCAACGTAGCCGGAGCTCCTTCCAGGAACCATCATCCTGGTTCAGCGTCAAAAGTTGACCACAGTCAGGGTCGGATTAATCGGAAGGCACGTTAGGCACATTGGCTAGGGTCCACGAACATGAGGGGCCTTCTGATGAAACATTTTAGTAGTTTATTTCAGAATTAAAAATATATAAATAAATGATATAGGGACTATATACAAAATTATAGATTTTTCTATGGAAAAAAAACTTCAGTTATGTGTATACATTAAATATGATGTTTAGGTCCACAATTACAATTTTATAATGTAATGGCTTTCGATAATCTAACAAACTAATACCTTTTTCTGATTTTGGGATTCATTAAAATTTTGTGTTAAATTCAATTTGTTAAGATTTCTCTTTCTATTCACACCAACGCGAGAAAAAGTCTAATAACTTCAGTTTAATACGGTCCTATACTTTTTCTGATATCTTCTTCAAGCTTCATCCGGCCCCGTCCCTAGGGAATGGCAGCTCGCTCTGGAAGATCGCTCTTTGTGGCAATTAACACGAGCTTTTCAAACATTTAAAAATTTCGTACTTGAGAATGTAGGGAAACATCCACAAAACAATAAAATTTTCCAACATCATGATCATCATTACATCTTCACCATGATCATATCACCATCATGTACATAGGTACATTTACTATATAACATACATATGCTTGAAGTACATTATTATAATATAATGTAGGTCATGCCAAGGGAAAGAACCCTGTATTTTTATGACAGTTATTTTTGACCAAATAATATCTTCATTTATAAAAAAATATTCTAAGAAAATAATTGAATGTAACTGGAAATTCAAGAAATTAGATTGAGTAGAAACCTCAAACTTCTTTCAAAACCCTTAGTGTTTTGAATATAGCGATTTCCCCAATTTTCTAAATATCAGAGGTTTTAATAAAAATCAGAACTATAATATAATCATATGTGCATTTTCTTCTCTATGAGAAAAAGTAAAGAAATTTGTTTCTAAAAATGCCGTAGGGGTTTCATGTAGAGTACCTCTAAAAATTAAAAAATTCAATGATATCTAGAACGGAACCACTAGATCTACTTCTAGTATATTTACCAAGCTTGAACTCAAAAGCTGCAAATCTAACAGAATTATTCGTGATATATATATATATATA